GTCGTGCGTGGTGAGTGCGGGCGAGCGGAAAGGAGCTTGGCATTGGGTATGAGGGGGTGGGGTGGGTGGCGATCATGCCGGGGCACCTACTCACTACCCCACCCGCAGTGCGCCGTTGGTTGGGCAGGCAACGGCCTCCTCTGCGGCAGAGACACGGATTTGGACGGCTTCCCCGACGAGAAGCTGCGCTGCCCCGAACGCCAGTGCCGAAAGGTGGGCGGGGTCTGAAGGGCGACGATGGCCCGGTGGTGGGCGGGGCTCCCTAGGCACGCCCCTCACTGCCGCTGTGCCCTCCCCTAGGACAACTGCGTGACGGTGCCCAACTCAGGTCAAGAGGACGTGGATCGCGACGGCATCGGAGACGCCTGCGACCCGGATGCCGATGGGGATGGGGTCCTCAACGAGCAGGTGGGGCCAAACATCCGGGCCGAAGTTAGGCAAGGTGGGGGCGTGGCTTGGGTGAGGGAGGTGGCCTCAGAGGATGTGGACTGGGGGTTCCAGGAGGGATGACCGCTGCTCTGCGGAGGAGGCGGGGCCTCGGAGCTGGGCTGTTCTGGGGAGTGACGTTTGCCCCTCCAGGCCTGACCCTCCCCTTGATCGGCCCTGTCCCCCAGGACAACTGTAAACTGGTGCGGAACCCTGACCAGCGCAATACGGACGGCGACAAGTGGGGTGATGCGTGCGACAACTGCCGGTCCCAGAAGAACGATGACCAAAAGGACACAGATCAGGACGGCAAAGGCGATGCCTGCGACGACGACATCGACGGCGACCGTGAGAGCAGCAGAAGGGGGAGGGGGGGAGAGGAAAGGGCAGGCACCGAGGGGCGGGGCTTGCTTGAGGGCGGAGCTAGTTTTGGAACCTGCAGGGGGTGAGCTCCCGAAGGGGGAAAGGCAGGAGCATTTGGAGGAGGGGAAGGCGGACCCTGTGTCAGATGTTGCAAGGAGTAAGCAGTTGAACAGAAACGTGAGCCTCCAGTTTAGGGCCAGGGAGGTGCCAATTTTACACTGGGGACAGACACTCAGCATGGTGCATTCACAGTGCTAGCGGAGGGTCCAGCTGAGCTTCCTCTGTGAGTGAGAGCCGGTCCCTTCTCCCGCCGTCCATTAAGTCTCTGGGGCTGGGGCCAGTGCCCTACCTGATTTAACTTTGTAGCTGCCGGGAGCCTGGAAAGGCATGGGACTATGTCCCAGGCGAGCCCCACGTTCGCAGCTGCCTTGCCAAAGTCAGCCTGGCTCCACCCCCACCTTGGGATCCTGTGCTGTCCCCCCTCCTTCTCTCAGGGGTCCGAAATATGGTGGACAACTGCCCAAGGGTGCCCAATTCAGACCAGAAGGACAGTGATGGTGACGGTGTAGGGGACGCCTGTGACAATTGCCCCCAGAAAAGCAACGCAGACCAGGTGAGCGTGGGCAGCACCCCGCTGGGTCAGATCCCTGAGGTGAGCTCCAGACTAGTTAAGGAGACTGAAGCCCATGGTGGGCGGTGTTCCTTGGGGTCAGGACGACCTTGGCTCTGGAACTCGGGGCCAGTGGGAGGCTTCTGAATTCCTCAGCCTTGATTTTGGACTCCTGCATCTACCTTCCTTAGAGTGATGTGGACCACGACTTTGTGGGAGATGCTTGTGACAGCGACCAAGACCAGTAAGGAGGCCGTCTAGGCTGGTGGTGGGGACCGAGGGTGGGCGACCCCGACCCAGCCCTCTGGGAAATCTCACTGTCTCTCTGTCCCACCCACCAATTATAGGGATGGGGATGGGCACCAGGACTCACGGGACAACTGCCCTACAGTACCAAATAGTGCCCAGCAGGATTCAGATCACGATGGCCAGGGTGACGCCTGCGACGATGATGACGACAACGATGGGGTCCCCGACAGTCGGGACAATTGCCGCCTGGTGCCCAACCCAAACCAGGAAGATGTAGACCGTAAGGGCAGGGGGCGGGGCCTGTGGTGGGTTTGAGGCTGGTGTGGAGAACCTGGCAGGTGCAGGCGGGGCTGGGAGGTGTGCGGGTGGGACCTATAGCAGGTGTGGGCGTGACTAGGTCCTGGGCCGGGCTGGCGCTGACCCCACCACCCGGGTCTCTCAGGGGACGGAGTGGGCGACGCGTGCCAGGGCGACTTCGACGCAGACAAGGTGGTAGACAAGATTGATGTGTGTCCGGAGAACGCCGAGGTCACCCTCACTGACTTCCGGGCCTTCCAGACCGTCGTGCTGGACCCCGAAGGCGACGCTCAGATAGATCCCAACTGGGTGGTGCTCAACCAGGTTGGGACCGGGCCTGGTGGAAGGTGGTGGGATTGGGTCCTAAACTGGGGCGGGGTAACCGAGGACCCACGCGGCCGACCTGAGGCCCTTCTTCCTTTGACCCCGTCAGGGTATGGAGATCGTGCAGACGATGAACAGCGACCCTGGCCTGGCTGTGGGTGAGACGGGAGAAGGGTCCTGGCCCTGCACCTAGCCGAATAGGGGGCGGGGCCAAGGGCGGGTCTGAAGTTAGGAAAGGCGGAGCCAGATTGAGTCTGGGCTCCGGGGTCCCGCAGTTCTGGACTCTGAAGGAGCTTGGCCGAGGCATGTCACAGGCAGGGGCTCAGGGATGTGGTCATGGCTGAACTTGGCCGATAGGGATGGGGCCGGTATGTGGGTGGGGATCTGGGTCTAGGGACAAGTTGGACTCCCGAGGGTCGGGGTGGCGGGGGCAGGGCCCCAGTGGGGAGAGCCTTACCGCTCCCTTCTCTTCCCCAGGATACACGGCCTTCAATGGCGTGGACTTCGAAGGCACGTTCCACGTGAACACGGTCACAGATGACGACTATGCAGGCTTCATCTTTGGCTACCAGGACAGCTCCAGCTTTTATGTGGTCATGTGGAAGCAGATGGAGCAGACATACTGGCAGGCGAATCCTTTCCGCGCAGTGGCTGAACCTGGCATTCAGCTCAAGGTGTCCGTGGCCCCACCTGACCTCTCGCAGTCCCTGAGCTCTCTAGGAGACCCCAAATCCTCCCAAGGACTCCCAAACCCTTTACAGCCTCCTAGCATCATTCTGTGGACCTCAGAGTCCTCCCAGCTGCACCCCTCTCCCCGGATTCCTACAGGCCCTCAAACACTCCCCCAGGGCCCCCAAACTTCCTTTGGGCCCCGAAACCTCATGCAGCCCGAAACTTCCCCTCAGGTTCCAAATCCTCCTGCAGAATCCCTAGACCCCAGTAAGTCACTGAAACCCTCCAGCAAATTCCCCAAATCCTGTAGAGCCCAGTTTGTCCCAAAACTGTCTGTAGTCACTAAGCCCGTCTCACAGACCCCTCCAAATCCTCTCAGACTCCAAACCTGCCCATGGACTCCCAGATCCTCACAGGAGCTCCCAGACCACCCCTGCCCCCCCACCCCCCCCTGCAAATCTCCATGTGACCCCCAAGAAGGCTTCCTTGCAGGTATCCCACCCAGGCACCCTAGGCGCTCCCACCGCTGCCAAGCCCTGTGGCTCCCCTCCTGTGCCACCAGGCAGGGTTCTGGAGGGCTCCAGTAGCCTGTGCGGCCTCTGACTCTAGTCCCCTGGCCCGGGGCACGGCCAGGCTGTGAAGTCCTCCACAGGCCCCGGGGAGCAGCTGCGGAATGCACTCTGGCACACGGGGGACACAGCCTCACAGGTGCGGCTCCTGTGGAAGGACCCCCGCAACGTGGGCTGGAAAGACAAGACGTCCTACCGCTGGTTCCTGCAGCACCGGCCTCAAGTGGGCTACATCAGGTGGGGGCCTCGGCCCTGGCCAGTGGGCCAGAGGGAGTCTTTCTGTTGGCCCCTGGAGGTTCAGGGGGCCTCAGTCCCCTTAACTGGAAAACGGGAATGATATGGGCAGGTAGAATGAGAGCTGTGTTTGGCTCTGGGACATGACACTTCTCCTAGGACGCAGGACACAGCAGGTCCTCAGATAGAAGGTGGGGTCCCACTCTCTCTGTTTCTCGGTCCCCACTCCGCACTGCCAGGAAGTCCATCCTCTCACAACAGGGAAGCTGAGACCCAGGTCAGAAGCCCCACCTGCCCTGAGAGTGGCCCAGGCAGGGAGGACTCATGGGTTCCAGTCCCACAGAGGAGGGGACCCATCTTCCAGGGCAGAGGCCCAGCCCAGGGCCCCACCTCCCTGTCCCATCCTTCCCACAGAGTGCGCTTCTACGAGGGCCCCGAGCTGGTGGCTGACAGCAACGTGGTCCTGGACACGACCATGCGGGGTGGCCGCCTGGGGGTCTTCTGCTTCTCCCAAGAGAACATCATTTGGGCTAATCTGCGCTACCGCTGCAATGGTGAGGGGCAAGCCCAGCCGGGGAGGGGGTGGGGGTCCATCCTGCCCAACCTCACCCCCTCTTTCTCTCTTGCCCTTTCTCCAGACACCATCCCCGAGGACTATGAGACTCAGAGGCTGCTGCAGGCCTAGGGATGGGGGTGGGGACCCACTACTGGAAGACGGCCACCCTCAGGACTGCCCTCACCGCGCCAAGCAGGGAACTCGTGCCCGGCTCCGAGGGGTGGCTGGCCTGGGGGAGGGGAGGCTGAGGGGCTCAGAGAGGACAAAATAAAGTGTGTGTGGTGGAGTGGCTGGCCGTGGCCTCTGCTTCAGGGAGGCTGAGGGGTGGGGCCTCCGAGGAAAGGCTGGGCCAGGGATCCCGGACCTGCTAAGGACTACCCACCCTCCCCAGTTCACTAGGGCCCAGCGGCCTGACTAGGAGTGTCCAACCCTGACTGTGGAGGCCCCAGGCCTGCTGCTGCATCCTACCCACTTGAGGTCACGGGGCTGGATCCCCACCACTGAATGCCTCCCCCAGGAACCTGGGGTCCTTCCTCTTCTAAGCAATACTCTCAACTAGCTGGCTGGGGGTAGCGATGAGGGGCTCACACCTGTGTGTCCATGTTCATGTGTGTGTGTGGCTCCCACCTGACATACCCTACTGGCCCATGTTCCAGTACCAGTGTGGGGGGACGGCGGGAAAGAAAGGAGAGGAGGCAGGGACGAAAACATTGGATTTTTATTATGTTTCATTACAAAGGATGCAAAGGTACAAAGACAAAAGCGTCCACGCCAGAGAAGATGGGCAGGGGCCGGCCGAGTGCGCCCTGAGCCGCCCGCCCCCACCCACCGTGGGCACCCAACCCACGGCCCACGGGACATCCACAGAAGAGTGTACATGCTGGGGGCGGGGGCAGAGCCAGCCTGGGGACAGCGGGACACAGGTGGAGCAGGGCTTGGACCGGCAGGTTTGCATATATCAGTGGTGCCACCCAGCCCCTTGGGGGGCAGTTTCCTATATGGGGGGCACAGCGGGGCCAGTGGACCTTGGCTGCCAAAGCCCTCCCTCACAGGGACTGGTGGCAAAGGCCACAGCTGTGTCCACTTGTCCCGAGTGGACAAGAGGTCAGAAGTGATGGGCTAAGATGGGCTGGGCATTCATTGGCCCCGAACTCCAGAGCCCTGTGAGATGGGGACAACACCACGCCCTGCATGTGCCACGTGTCCTTGGCCTCTTGGCACGGGGAGTTGAGGGCTGACCGAGAGGGCAGAAGGTGGAGGAAACTACTTGGAGCCAGCATCACTCTGATGTCCAGACCTTAGCCCCCACCCTGCCAGGGAGGACCCTGAGGCTGAGACCCATGGGTGTGAGCCAGTGACAGGAGGGAAAGTGAAGCCCAGGTCACAAGGGTCTTTTTCTCACCGCCCCCCTCCCCATGCCTTTGAGAGTATCCCAGCACCCAGGCCTGGGGATACAAGTTACCCCATCTCCGTCTCCTGGCAGTGAGAGAATGTGTCTGTGGCCCGTTGCCTGTGGTGAAGGGTTTTGAAGGGGGCCTGAGCCCCACCCAATTAGGAACCTTGGAGGCCAAAGGCCAAGAGAAACCAAGGAGAGTCAGCTCAGGCTGAGACGGTTGGGCAGGACCTGATGGAGGAGTGTACCAGGAACCCCCAGTCACACACTGTGAGACCCCCAGGAGGTGGGGGCACAGGTTCCAAGGAGAACAGGGGCGGAAACAGACCTAGCTGCCCACTCACCCCAGGCAGGCCTCCGGCAGTGGGCGGGGGAAGCACTCTGTCCTCCCCAGGGCTCTGCGAGCCAAGTGGGAAGGGCTCGGGTAGCCACGGCTCCCTTACCGGGAGCGCCACCTGCAGGAGTGATGGGTCAAGACCAGGGGCGCTGGATACCCTTGACCTTGTAGCCCCCATACCCTACCCCCACAACGAGAGCCTCAGTGGCCTCTAACTACAGCTCCATCAGAACCCAGTGAGGGTGGTGGGTGCTGCTGCAGCTTTGTGAGGACTGGGGGTGGGGAGTGGAGGGCTCCCCCATACCGCCAGACCTTACCACACGCAGCCTGTCCCTAGGAGTGGGGTGCTTTCTTTGGAAATGCAGAAAAGCAGGAATCCAGATGGGGCTGGAAGTCTGGGAGGACGTTTGGTTACGAGCCAGCTCAGGGTTGGCTGAGATGTGGAGGTCTGGGGAGGGGGGCACGCTCCCACGTGTCCTTGGCGGCCCTGGGGGCCCCTCTAAGGACAATCCCTCATGGGGGCTCACTGGGCCCAGGATGCTGGCTGGTGGGGAAGGCAGCCTCTGCAGCTGGAGCCCCATTCAGCCCCCCAAAGACCTGGAGCCTCCTCCCGTCCTGACTGGCCAGGCCACAGCTAGCACCTGGCACGCAGCCCACCCCAGGACACACAGATGGACGCGGAGACTCTCGCCCTCCCTGTGGGGGTCTCATAGGGCTCGATGTCCATCCTCGGCCACCCCACTATGACACGTGGGCCCCCCGACGGGGCCCAGCTGGCTAGGCAGCCTCCGGGGAGCTCGGCCAGCCCAAGAAATCATGCCAAACACACAGACATCAGAACCCTTCTTTTCTAGCCCCCCAAACCCACAAGTAGACAAGAGCAGAAGGGCTGCAAAGGCCAGCGTGAGCGCCTTAGGAGCCCTGTGCTCAGTGCACACCCTTGGGGCAGGCAGGTAGCTAGAAGCCAGCAGGGGGGCTGGGTGGAGGTGTTGCTGGGGAAAGGGCCCCAAGCCCACACGGCTGCCCTCCGCCTAGGCCTTGCTAGTCCCAGGGAGTCCGATGGACAGCAATGGCAGGGAGGGATTGGACCCACCACAGTAAGGGCCCCTTCTTCTCTGGCTTGTCCCCCACAGGAGAGAGTAGACAGTTTTTGGATACTGTCAGCTGTGGCCCCTAAACCTTGCTAAAGGGTCAACTTGCCCCAAGCTTTCTACTGAGGGTCTCAGGGCCCCTTACCACAAGGGGCCGCCCCACCCCGCCCCGCCCCACCACTTCCTGCCCAGAAGTGTGTCAGAAGGAGGCAGGGCATGTGAGAATGAGGTGGGGCAGGGGGAATGCAGGATGCCCCGAAGAGCGCTGCCTATTTTCTCCCTGGTAAGGACATAGTGGGGACGGAGGTTGGCATGGGTACCTGTGACAGGGAACATGATCCCGACAAGACCCCTTCTCGTCCCCCACATCAGCTCTGGACACTGTGTGTGTGTGGGGTGACTTTGATGGGTGGGGTTTGAGGGGGCAGGGGCATAAACCCTCTTCTCTGAAGGACACAGAGAGGGGCCGATCCCGGGCTCTACTTTGGCCCACAAGCCTCTGTGGGGGTAATAAACTCATTGCCCTGGGGATTTGGGGGACAGAGGGTAAACTGAGGCAGGTGGGAACACACTGTTCAGCTTGTGTTCCTGGGGCAGAAGTTTGCACAGCTGAGGGGACCGAAATCAGGAGCACTCAGGCAGCGGCAGGGGGGACAGACAGGCCTGGCCTCTGACTCCGTGTGGGCTGAGCGTCCAGGCCTGTCCAGAACGAGCAAGCGAGGACACAGGTGGCGGGCGGGTCTATATACAATATTCAGGGGCCTCAGCCCACCCCTCACGGCGCAGCTCGCCTGAAATCACAGTATTTTCACATCACAAGTCAAAGGGCTGGTTCCCTTAGGCTGTCCTGTTTCAGGAAGTCTTGGCAATTCAAGAATATTTAGTAGAGAAGCAATATTTAAGAAATAAACAAAATCCCCTGCTGCAGACCTCAGGGGGCCTGCCCAGGCCCAGGCAGGGGTGTGAACCCTGTGAGGGCACAGGGATGCCTGGCCACTGGCTCCTGGCTGGGACCCCCTCCCTGGGAAAGCTGCACCTATGCCCCTCAGGAGCTGAAGTGGCCATGGAAATAATACAATGTCGCCTGTGCCCCTGGCCAAGGGGATGTCAGAAATAGGCTGCAGGGGTGGACACCCTCCCTCTGCTGCCCATCTGCACTGAGAACCGGGTGCCGGGCAGACAGGAAGTACGAGGCTCCCACACGGGGTCCACGATGCCTTGTTTGAAAACTGCATCCAGGAAGGTTGCTTATAATTTTATTAAGGCCATTTTTTAAAAAGTTCTACATACAAGTCTAATGGTAAACTCTTCTATGTACATGTAGTTTTCTTAAAAAAAAAAAAAAAAAAAAAGAAGAAGAAAGTCTCAGTCTTTGCTCCCAGACCCTGCCTCGGTAAAAGGCTGGGGCCTCAACCTGAATGGACTGACCCCGTGTCCCCTAGCCCAGATGAGGGCAGCAGGGGCCAAATGACCGAGGAGGGGGCCTTCTTATACCTGTGGCAGCAGCCCAGTTGCTTGGCCATGTGCTAACAACATGGCCCGGGAACGAGAGAGAGAGAGAGAGAGATGTCATTAGGATCAAATCTGGCTCCCACAGACCGAGGCGAGGGCTCTCACGACCCAGAGGCAGTGGCTGCAACGCCACAGAGAATCACTCCGAGGAGAAGGTGCCGGCCCGGCCTGCAGGTCAAGGAGCCAGCAAGAGCTCAAGGTGAGGCTTTGGAGGGACTGCAACAGAAGTTCCTACTTCAGAGCAGCTGACGGAAAACAAAGACGGCCCTTTCACCCCTCCCGGGGCCTGGAGGGCACAGGGACAGCCCCCAGCATGAAGGCCGAGCCCTGATGGTCACCTCGGCCTCTGGAGGCACTTCAAGAAGCACCTGGAAACCTGTTGCTACAACACACACTGCTCTTTGCCCCCGAATCCGGCCCTGTTGGGAGGAGCCATGAAAAGGGTGGCTGAAGGAGACGAATGTCAGCTGGCTCTCAGGGTAGGGGGCAAGAGAGCAGCCTCATCTCGGGGGGTGTCAGGGCAGAGGGGCTGCAGCTGCCACCAGCCTCGGGGTCTGGGATAGTCCTCCCTGGAAGACCATCAGGATGGCCAGGCAGAGATGGGTCTCTGAGAGACCCTTAATAAACGCCGTGGCTCCTTCCTGGAATTCCACCTGTCGCGTGGCTAGTGCGGAGACACCTCTTGCCACCTCGAGCTTCTGCCAGAGACCCTACCAGGCCCAATCCGCCCTCACTCAGCCCTTGCGTTCTGAGATAATGTGGGCCTTCGCTAAAACGGCTAGAGACACAGCTCAGATCCGGGCAGGCAGCAGACTGCTTCCAGTTAGCTTAAAAAATATATAACCTGGGATTTCTGGAATAAAAACATGCTCTCAGGCAAGTATTGGATCGAAGGAGTCAGCTACTCATCTACAACCAAAGTGTAAATACAAACCAAAAGAAACAAACAAACAAAAACAACAAAAATGCCCTGGCCACCCCCTCCCCACCCCATGTTTAAATAACAGTGACAGTGACCAAGGTACAGAGAAGAAAAGATGAAAACAGGCTGAGAGATGAAAACAAACCCCGGAGATAGTCCGTGCCTCCACATGCATCCCCTGGAAGGCCCTTCCATCCTGGTCAGGGGCTTCACTTTCAGGGCCAAGGCGGCCCCAGAGGGACCTAGCTGGGGGTGGGCAAAGCGGGAGCAAGGGTCCCGGGAAGATTTAGCTGCTTTGCATGCTCTGTTCACACCTTTTATGTTCTACCTCCATGGGATGGATTCTAGCATTCTCTGAATGTGCTCAGAAATATAAAAGACAGCAGTCAAAATAGTGTTTATTTCGCTTTGTGTCTACCCCTCTCTCTGGCGCCTTCTCCCCTTGGCAGGGTGGGGCTGGCTCTCTACCTAACCTCGGGCTGGGGGGGGTGGCGGGCAGGTCGGGGGACCGGGAACGAAGGAAGGCAGTGAGAGCTGGACAACAGTCGGAAAATGCACCTCAGCCCACGGCCGCCATGGACCACAGCGCCCCCTCCAGGCCAGAGGCCCTGCCCAACACGCTTTCCGCATTTTACAGGGGGGGACGGCTCACGGCCCAGGGTGGGGGGCGAGAGAGCACGCGCAGGGAGGCTCCGCGGGGGTGACACGCGGCCTCCTGAGGGAGGTGGACAGCTGGGGGGGGGGGCGGGCGGGAGGGCAGGGGGCGCTTGGCGGCATTGCAAGCTCAGAATCACAAGCTCGGCCGTTTGCGAAGGACGGAGCGCGGCCGTCCCTGGGCTCAGGGAGACGCCGTCGGGACCACTGACCGGCGGGGTGATGGAGCCGGGGGCTGGGCGGCGACGTGCCAGGTGTGCAGCTCACAGACGGTCCATCCGGAAGGTGTCCTCGGTGGCCGGGTCGGCCAGGACCATGTCGGGGTCGTTGAGCATGTGCAGTCCATCCAGGGTCAGGGGGTCAATCTTGAGTTCATCCAGGGGGAACTGGTTGTCCGAGTCGAAGCTGACATCACCGACCCCGGCCAGTGTGCTGGTCAGTTCTTTAGAGAGGCTGGGAGGGGACTCTCCCGTCACTGGAGCGGGGGTTAGCGGGGAGGAACACAGGACAAATGAGTCTCAGCATGGCCGGGGCTCTCTGACCCCACGCCCTACACCTCCACGGCCCCGTCAATGCTCAGGGAAGAGGCGCCTGGGCCACACCAGGGGTGCTTACGGGGGGTGGGGTGTCCTCTAGGCAACACTGGCAATGTTTAGGGGCATTTTTACTGGTCGTGACTGGAGAAGAGGGAATGCTACTGGCATCAGGTAGGTGGAGACCAGGGACGCTACTTAGCACAGGGTGGCCCCACCACCCCAGGGAAAGATCTTGCCCCTCATTATCAGCAGTTCCAAGGCTGGGAAGCCCTGAGCTACGAGCTAGGTCACAAATGTTCAGCGTGACCTGACAGGAGCAGGTGTCTTTCCTGCTTGGCCAGGAGGTCTCCTCCACATATGCCACTGAGCAGCACACTGGGATATGTGCACACATGTGCACAGCAACCCTCTCGGTAGGCTGGAGGCAAGCCTGAGTTCTCCCAGAGAGAGCCAGGTTCAAACCTAGGCTCTCTCCTCTACTTACAGTGAGACCTTAGGCCTTAGTTTCCCAATCTGAGAAAGGGGTCTAAAAGTCTTTCTGGGCTGTTGCGGCAATCTCAGGGGCCTGATCTTTCTTAAGTGTCTGAAGCTCCCACCCCAGAGCTTCTCCTGCAGACCACTGCTCACACCCCTGGGGTAGGGAGGAAGCACTAGGCCGCGAGGGGACCTGGTCATGGACTTCTCCATCCTGGACATGTCAGTGGGACCACCAGAGGGTGTCACCCTCAACCCTGAGACAGTCCTGGCTTATAAGGGAATTGCTTCCTTCTTGGATAAAACACAGACTCTACAGGGTAGAGCAGAGGCAGCAAAGGGTGTGGGTTTGATCCCACATGGAGCAGGGACTTACTCATATGTGCTCTGCGTGTCCCCAGAAGCCTGGGTGCCGTGCTCAGGCTACTCGGAGAGGCTCACTGCTGTGTGACCTGCTGCATGTTTGTTGGCTGCATGAGACAAGCCCTGCCACACAGGGCCTGACCCCTAGTCACCTGCAATCCTACCATCCTCAGCTAATGGGGTCCAGGGACCTGGGGAGCAGATGCAGGGCTGGGCGAACGACTAGCTCTGTCCTGTTCTTGCTCTGAGCACAGGACACGGGAAGCCTGGTTCAGGGTCCAGTGTGCGTCCCTGAGCCAAGCTTGGTGAGGTCTGACCTCCTCTGGTCCAGTCCCGTCGCAACTTATCCCACAGGGCAGGGCATTCCCCACGGTGGCATTCTGCCCAAGATGCCCCCTCCCCCCCAGGATGCCACACACCGGTGGCCTCACCTGTGAGGATGATGTTGGGGATGCTGCTGTGGCTGGGGTAGCCCAGCGGCTGTGTGTCTGGCAGGCTCCCGTGGCTGCCGGTGAGGCCCATCATGGCTGCCTGCGAGTAGTTGAGCGTCGAGCCCGGGCTGTACAGGCTGCTGGAGCTGATGGCGTTCTCCATCATATTGAACTGCTCCAGCTGTCGGGGGAAGCACACAGGCTTCCCTCAGAGGCTGGCCCTGCTGAGCGCCTGGCTATCGCTGGCTGGCTGGCCCGGCCCACAGTAGCCGGGCCACCTCCTCTGCAAGAGGCCCGGCGCCCACGCTCAGATGCTCGGGGCTGCTGAGCATGACATTCTAGCCCCGGGGTCTCCCCCTCCTCCCTCTCTGCATCTGCCCAGGCCTGCCTGCACACGGCCCCCTCAGGGCCCACTGGATGGATGTACGGATGGACGGATGGATGGGTGAGTGACCTGCTCCAGGAAGCGGCCGACCCTTCTCATGCCCACGCGCCCCGGACCCTGGCCTCCGCGCAAAGCCAGCTCTATCCCCCGGCAAACCCACATGCAGGGCCCACGGTGAGGCACCAATGCTACAGCCAATGCCTGTCCCTGCCGGTGTTCACCGCCCACCTTTCCGCCCCCTCTGCTGCTAGCCTCATTCTGTGGGCCAGGCACAGATGCCTGGGGAGGCAAAGCCAAGCCACCCCTTCCAAGGCCTGGAGACAGGAGGGAGCCTTAGGAGCGAAGCTCACGCCCGAGGGGCGGGCGGGGTCCGGGTAAGCGTCTACTGTGGGCGCTGTGACCCGGGCACCCGCTCACCTGGTGGGACAGAGCATTGGCCTGCCTGGCCGCCATCTGCTGCTCATAGTACGAGTCCCCAAACACGCTGCCCAAGGTGGAGGAGTGCTGCAGACAGAAGAGAGGCCTGCCGTCATCACGGTCCCCAAGACCAGGTCGGGGGCTTGCTGGGGCTCAGGCAGGTTGTACCCACAGGAGGCCCCTGAAACCTCCTGGACGATGCTCAGGATAAAGGGAGGCTGAGCATCTAGGTCAGGCCTCCTGGGAAAGCCCACAACTGCCAGGATGGAGGGGTGCCTGGCTCACTCTGAGCAGGGGGCACCCCAATCTCAGGAGAAGTTCTTTCCACCACCTGCTCCAGGGGACTGTCGGTAACCCAATACCCCCCAAACTGCCATCCCGCATCTCCTCTCCTTGAACCAGGAATGGGTGACCCGGTTTCCATCAGATGGAAGATGGGGGGGGGGGCCACAGGGATTGGGAACCCCGCCTGACAGGTTCCAGAGCAAAACATGTGACTAGGGCCAAGGCGGTAGGTGCTCTGAATTTCAGGATGAGAAGTGTACTTGGCGACCCTTGTCAGGCCCCCAGGGAGACATGGGACATGGTAGCAGCCATACATGTGGACAGGACAGGCGCACAGAGCCAGATGCTGGCCAAGCGAGCACAGGACAGGCACATGGAAAGCCTACCTGCCTATCTGCTCACGGCCGCCTGCCTGGGGGACGCCAGGGCCCATGGGTGGGCAGGCAGCCGAATTTCTTTCAAGGCCAGTCAGGGAGCAGGTCTGCTCCTGACAGAAGAGCAGGGGACTGGGGACCCTTTCAGGCAAAAGAGGCTCCAGAAACAGGAGCCTGGGGTCCCTGCTTGTTCCTATGATGCCAAGAGAAACGGCAGGATGGAGCCCGTGGGACATGGAAGGGAGGAGGCACAGCCAGCGCATCATGGCTGCAGGAAATAGAACCCCAGCCCAGACCCCAAGTCTGCTTCCTCCTTGGTCAGTGGGCTGAGAGCAGAAAGAAAAACAGCCAATGTGGCATTTTTGCCACTTTTGCCTGAAACACAGCCAGCTTCCAGTTTAGAAAAGGGGGCTGTAAGGTCTTGGGCTTCCCCCTAAAGGAAGAAGCAGGTCTGTTCTGGGGCACCTGTTTCCACCCCCATGGGTTTGGACTCAAAGAGGCCTGACACAAGTAGGGGACCCAGGCTAAGGTTTCTTTTGTGAGGCTGCTATCAGAGTTTGCCAGAAAGGTCTGCTTAGAATGGAAAGGAGGAACACAGCACAGAGTACCAAAGGCCAACTGCCTAAGGCCCAAGGTGCAGCCAGACAGCCACAACGTCCACTTAAGCCTGGGGAGGTGAGGGGAGGTCCTGAGGGCAACCTAGAGTGCCAGCTGTAGCGCGAAGCCAGGCCTGGCCCTCACCCAGCATGGTCTGCCCCCGAGTGAGCCTCCTGGCCATCTGAAGCCCATGTCTAGTTCAGTCCAGATAACGTGACATCCCTGACCTCACAGCCACTTGAGCTGCCTGCCTCCCTTGCCAGCACCCAGTGGATGGACAGACAGACGAACACACAGACGTGGGCCGAGGCTGGACCAAGTCGTTTTGGTCTAGGCAAATTTCTACTGAGAAATCTGCTCCAGCCTTGAATGCCTTTCCTGCCTCCTGGACAGAAGGGGACATTACTCAAGGACCAGCCTTGGGAACAGGCCCCACTTGCCACTTCCCCTGCCTGGACCAGCTTCTCCCATCCCTCAGCATCCCGTGACACCACATGACCAGAGTAGACACTTCTCGGGAGCCTCAGGGGCTCAGAACCAATGTGGATGTATCCAGAGCCTGCAGATACCGGGCTGCCCACTGGCCTGCCCTGAGCTCACTGATGCCCTCCCTACCTGCCTACCGAGCAAGCTGCACACAGACGGTCCCAGAAGGACAGGCCACTGCGGGTGTGGGGGAGGGGGTGGGGTGGTGGTGGTGGAGGAAGGATCCTGGGAGAGCTCCTCCTACAGCAGATGGAACCACGAGAGTAGCCTTCCTGAATAGCACACCTGCCATCTCAACACACAGGCCCAATGTGGGTGTGCTTCCAAGAGCAGGGGACACGGAGCCAGCAGGGCCTGGGACAGGGAACTCAATATTGTTCTTGCATGGCCCTGCCTGGTGAGCCAGCTCTTCTCCCTTCTTTAGGAGGGAAGGAAAATCCTGTTGTGTCCTGGGCCAAAAATGAGGTTTCAGGGCCTCGGGCACTGCCCTGTGGAAGGGGCGCCTAGGAGTTTCTCAGCTTGGTGACATTTTGGGGATGGAGTAGTGGGGTCCTGAGGAGGCTCTATACTCTGGAAATTTCAGGCCCTGATGTCAGCTATGTGGGTACCTCTTCTCTGGTGGAAGTATCTCTATCTCTTTTCCAGACAGAATTCAGCCATGAGCCCAGAGCCGTGCTAAGGGGAGTCCTGAGGAACCAAGATGGGGGTACGTGTGCATGTATGTGTGTCAGAGGTTGGGGTCCACTTGTATTGGGGGAAAACCCAAATCTCATGGATGTAGTCAAGCCCTGCCTGTTGCCTGGGGCAAGCCTCAGTCTCCTCATCTGTGAGATGGGGACATGGACCCTGAGAAGCTGCAGTGCCACTCAGAGAAGCTTCCTGTGAGGACACACCCTTCTGTGAGGCAGAGGGAGAGGGATCTGAGGAGTCAGAGCCCCAGTCACAGGCCAGCCATCACCTCAGCTACACCCCTAAGCAGGTGGAGCACCCCTCCACTTTCAGGAGCCTTGAGAAGGCAGGCACAGGCAGGGATGTGCGCACGGGCTATTTGACACTGGGGTGACCCTGACTGCTGGGCAAGAAGCCAAGGCGTGGCCAATGCTGAGGATGCTAATGAGAGCGAGAGCCCACCACCTCCAGCTCAGGCTCCACACAGGCCACAAAGACACGGAAGGAATGTGGCAGCTCCCGAGCTGGGCCTGGTGGGCAGCGCCTTCTCCTCCCCGCCCGGGTGGAGTGGACGAGATGGGATGGAGTGAGGCACAGATGGTGGGGGACGCATGGGGGGTGCAAAGCAACGCTGGAGTGCGGGGCGCTGGGATAGGGGAGGCGGCGTCCCTTACTTGCGGGGAGCTCCCGGGGGAGAAGCCTTGATTGGAGACAGGTGAGGTGGGAGACTGGTTAGCCGGGGAGCCGGCACTAGTGCGGTACTGCTGCAGAGCCGGCGCCTGCGACGACAGACAGGTCAGGACGCGCGAGGGGCCCCAGGCCTGGCTTCCTGGGACTGGCCATTCCCCGCTGAGCATACCTCCCGAGGACCCCCCGCCCCCCATCAGGTGAGCAGAGTATCAGGAGCACCTGCGAGTGGTGCAGGCCCCCGAGCCCTGTCGGAACCCGGGGCCTCTGGGCATGTGCCTCCAAACCTAGCTCCCAGAGGTTTGGGGGGTTATAGTCAGAGAACCCAGCTTCATGGAATCACGCCAGAGGCCTGTGGACCCTAGAGGGGTCCACCTTCACTCGGCAGGCTTCAGACCACCCACACGAACACACACCCAGACCCATGCACATGTGCACACAGCCATACCTGTGTACACACAAACACACCCACACACATGTGGGCAATAGAAAGCCCAGGGCCGGGCTGGCAGGTGCTACCTTCTGCTGCCGACTCTGGGCAGCTCTCTCAGCTCTCTGAGCTCCAATTCTGTGCACTGGTACATCCTGCCCACCTCGAGGGGTGCTGGGCCAACAAAAAAGGCCATCTGGGGCACATAGCAAGGTATCCAGTACCGGGCAGTCCCTATACTGGCACTTGGGACAAGCCTGATGCGTATGCTGTCCAGAGACCTCCAAGGGGCAGCCACCTCCTCACCCGAAGGACAAAGGGCCTTAGCTTCTCACCAGGGGTGGGCGAGGCTGGGCAAGGACCTGGATTTAGACCTTGCTCTGGTCCCAGTCCACCCAGGACCTGCTGTGTGCCTCTGGGCAAGGTACCTGACTTCTGAGGCCAAGCTGACCAGCCCAGGGCCCCATACATGCTTGGTCTCCTTCGTTTCCTCAGTGGGCTGTTCTGAGTAGTCTGGAATAGGGACTGGGAGGGGCACAGGGCCACAATTAACAGAGTATCAGTGTCGGAGGCACCAGCATGGTCACTTGGCAATGGCTGGTTCGGGCTTTCTCAGAGTCGGAAAGAGGAACCTGTCTAGAGGGATGTTCTCCTTGCTCAGCTGAGGCTGCACAAATGCAAGAAAGAAGCAACCAGAGCCTGTGCCCCAAGGGGTGTCAGGCAACAGAGAGCCCTGGGGTGGGGGTGGGGGCGGGCGCAGGTGATGTCTGTGCACCTGGCCCGGGCATCCCTGCTTCCACTGTCTGCCCAGCTCAAAAGTGAGGCACCGCCGCTGGAGGGCGTCAGGGAATGAGGTCCTCCGAGCAGGCTCAGAGCTGCCCCCACACCAGCTGTGTTTCTAACAAAGAAAAGGCTTGTGCACATTCCTGTCTGGGAGACCCTTGGGGTTTGTCCTCCAAGGGGTCAGAGCAGCTTGGAAACAGGTCTCTCTTCACTCACTCCACCCAGCTCAGGGGGGCCTAGTCTCTGTAGTGCACGATGTTCTGAGGACATTTATCTTGGGGTTGGCACAAGGGCTGTGTGGAGAGGGCTTACTGTGCCCTAAACGAGGTCCCTGTTCCTCTAAACATGGTCAAAGTAGCTGAGACCACTCCCTTCCCACCAGGGCAACCAACCAAGGTGAAACTCTGAACAATCGAGAAGGTTTGGGGATGCAGAGGTCAAAATTGAGCACCCATTACCCTGAGCCCAGGCCCAGGCAAGGGGTCCCATGGCCTGAGCTGTAGGACCCCAGGCCCCAAGCAGGGAGTCCCATGGTCTAAACTGCACCAGGGCACTTTGCTGCATGAACCACAGGGCTGGATTCATCCCTTCTTCTCCAAGTTCATCTCTGTCCCTCTAATTCCCAGCAGTCTGTTCCCCAGGCCCTGAGAGCCTGTGTCCTCCAAGAGAGGCCTTTTTTGGAGGGAAGGGTTGAAGTACTGGGCATCAAGGGCCATGGGGGAGCCTTGGCAGTCAGACACAGCCTGGCCCATCTTGGGTGAAGTTTGGGGCAAATGATCCCTACCTGTGTCTCAGCTTCCCCATCTGTACATGGAATGAAGAGCTTGGCCTGGCAGTATTTGCTTCAGCCCTGACCCCTGGCCAAATTGGCCTTGAAGGGGAGCCTTGAGGAGGCTTTTGCCAGACACCTGAGTCTTTGAGCCTTGGGACCCCAATGGGGGTCTCCCACAGCCCCTGGGATCCATGAGCCCCCCCCCCCCCCGGCTAGGCCCCAGCCAGGCCCCACGCGACCCCATCCTAGGCTTACCGAGGTGATGTCGATCCCCATTGGCGGCTGGCCCGGGTTCTCTGGGGGGGACTGGGGGAGAGAGGATGGTACCGTGACCGCAAGTGGGGGCAGCTGGGGCCCCCGCGTCAGGCTGGCGCTTGGCATCAGGGGGCCACCTGGGGGAAGGCCGACGGGCACCTGCGGGGGTGGTGGGGGCGGTTGCTGCTGGGACGCAGGTGGTGGCGGTGGAGGGGGCTGTGGCTGTGGCGGTGGCGGCTGCTGGGAGCCAGCCTGGGTGAAGAAGGCGTAGGGCAGCTGCTGCTCCAGAGACAGGGCATCCATGGCCACAGCCTGGGAGAAGAGGAGGGCGTCAGGTGGGAGGCCGCTTGGCAGAAGGGGCCAGGCTACAAGTACCTGGTCCCCGGGGTTCCCCCATGGCCTGGCATGCTCAGAAACGATGTTATGGATAAACAAAGGGACATCCGGACCCTGGCCTGGGAAGCTCAGGCCTAGAGAAGGCAGGCCTTTCCCAAGGGCCACGGAGGGTTAGGCACCTGGACAGGACCTAGGCTTCTAATCCGGCTGCCTATGCCCTGCACCCATTGAGCCTTTCCTTTGACTTTGCCACACACTGAGGGGTGGGTGCTCCCTCCCATACACACTCAGGCTCAGGGCTCCACACTCCAGCAACCCAGCGGGCAGCCTGTGCTTGGACCACTCTGGGGAGGCCCAGAGAGGGTCTGGGTGATGGAGATGCTGGTGTGGCCACTCAGTAACAATCAGCTCAGGCCTTCTTGGAGTTGGAAAGAGGGAAGTTTTCAGCATTTGTGAGTCCATATGGACAGTTCCTGGGGCAGACTGGGGCTCTTGCTCTCCAAGGGAGGCTGGATGGGACCAGGAGCTACAGGATATAACACTGAACAGAAAGCCCAGCCTCTGATAAGTGGTAGTTACTTCATGAACAAGAGTTTCCAGAAAAGGCAGGCAGGCCTAAGGGAGAAGGAACAGGGGTCACAGATGGCGAGAGTGAAGACACACTGCCAGAAGCCACCTGTCTGGATCCCAGTCTGAACAAGTAGATGGGAGACACGGAGGGGAATGGACCTAGGCCAGGCAGTGGAAGGTATGCCTATCAGTTTTGTTGTATGTGGATGATGCTATTGAGGTTATGTTAAAGAACAACCAACAAAAATATTGTCTGTTAGGGATTAAAAAAACAAACAGGCAAAACAGACAAATTCCTAGAAACACACAAACTACCAAAACTGATCCAAGAAGAAATGGAAAATCTGAATAGATCTATAGCAAGAAAGGAGATTCAATCAGTCATCAGAAACCTCCCAGGGGAAATTTTTGCAAATCACATATCCAATAAAGGGCTAGTATCCAGAATATATAAAGAACTTACAAAATTCAACACCCCAAAACCAAAAAAAAAAAAAATTAAAAAATGGGCTGAAGACGTGCATAGACAGTTTTCCAAAGACACACAGATGGCCAACAGACACATGAAAAGATGCTCCACGTCGCTCATCATCCGGGAAATGCAAATCAAAACCACAATGAGATACCAACTCACACCTGTCAGAATGGCGAAAATCAACAACGAGAAACAACAAGTATTGGCGAGGATGTGGTGAAAGGGGAGTCTCCCTGTCCTGCTGACAGAAATGAAAACTGGTGCAGCCACTCTGGAGAGCAATATGGGGCTTCCTCAAAAAGTTAAAAATAGAACTACCCTACAATCCAGCAATCCCACTACTAGGTATTTATCCAAAGGATACAAAAATTCAAAGGGATACATATACCTCAATGTTTATAGAAGCATTATTTACAACAGCCAAATTATGGAAGGAGCCAAGTATCCACTGATTGATAAATGGATAAAGAAGGTGTGGGGGCTCCTGGGTGTCTCAGTGGGTTAAGCATCTGACTCCTGATTTTGGCTCAGATCATGATCTCATAGTTTGTGAATTCATGCCCCAAGTCAGGCTCCATGCTGACAGCACAAAGCCTGCTTGGGATTCTCTCTTTCTCTCAAAATAAATTTTAAAACTTAAAAAAAAAAAAAAAAAAAAGTAATGTTATTAGGCCATAAAAAAGAATGAAATGTCGGGGCACCTGGGTGGCTCAGTTGGTTGAGCATCCAACTGTTAATTTTGACTCAGATCATGATCCCAGGGTCATGGGATCAAGCCCTGTGACGCTCAGCATAGAGCCTGCTTGGGGTTCTCTTCCTCACCCCTCCACCCCCACTCATGCAATCTCTCTCTCTCTCAAAAAACAAAATATAAATAAATAAGTAAAAATACATTTTATTTTTAAAAAATTTTCTTTAATATTTTATTTATTTCTGAGAGAGAAAGAGACAGGTGAGCAGGGGAGGGTCAGAGAGAGAGGGAGACACAGAATCTGAAGCAGGCTCCAGGCTCTGAGCTGTCAGCACAGAGCCAGATGCGGGGCTCGAACCCACGAACCGTGAGATCATGACCTGAGCCAAAGTCGGATGCTTAACCAACTGAGCCACCCAGATGCCCCTAAAAATGCATTTTAAAGAAGAATGAAAGCTTGCCATTTGCAATGAGGTGGATGGAGCTAGGGAGTATTATGCTAAGTGAAATAAGTCAGTCAGAGAAAGACAAATACCATATGATTTCACTCAGATGTGGAATTTAAGAAAACAAAACAAACAAAACGAGCAAAGGGAAGAGAGAGAGAGAGCAAGAACCCAACTGTTAACCAAAGAGAGTGCACTGATGGTTGCCAGAGGGGAGGCAGACTGGGGGGAAAGGGGGGAGAAATCGGTGATGGGGATGAAGAGACACACTTATCTTGATGAGCAGCGGGCGACGTACAGAATTGCTGAATTACCATATGGTACACCTGATGCCAGTATTACACTGTACATGAACTACTTAGACTTTAATTTAAAACTTAAAAAAACAACCCCAAATCTCCCGATGGAGATAGGCTAAGACCCAGGGGCTTCGCTGGTGAATTCTACCAAACATTTGAAGAATCGACACCAGTTTTCTCAAACACTTCCAAAGACACAAAAGAGGAAGGAATGCTTCCTAACTTGTTTTAGGGCCCTAAATGGACTAAGTAAAAAAGAGAAGAATCAAATTACTGAAGTCAGAAATGAAAGTGGGAACATTACCACCAACTTCAGTGAAACAGAATCAGGAGTGCTATGAGTGACGACACAGTAGCACACTGTATGCTCTAGACCAAAGAGACCAGTTTCTAGACACACACCAGCTACCAAACAAGCAGATGAAACAAAATTACGGCAAATTGAAAAAAAACCCCAAAAAACAAAAAACTAACCAAAAAAAAAACACCCCTCTCTAAACATCTTGTTTTTGTTTTTTTTGTTTCTTTTTTAAGTTTTATTTATTTCTTTTTTTTAATTTTTTTTAATGTTTTATTTATTTCTAGGAGAGAGAGAGAGAGAGCGTGAGCAGGGGAGGGTCAGAGAGAGAGGGAATCACAGACTGAAACAGGCTCCAGGCTCCGAGCTGGCAGTCAGCACAGAGCCCGACGCGGGGCCCGAACCCACGAACCGCGAGATCATGACCCAAGCAAAGTCGGACGCTTAACCGACTAAGCCACCCAGGCGCCCCTTATTTATTTCTAAGAGAGAGAGAGACAGAGTGACAGGGGAGGGACAGAGAGAGGGGGAGACACAGAATCTAAAACAGGCTTCAGGCTCTAAGCTGGGGCTCTGAGCCCGAACCCACGAACCGTGAGATCATGACCTGAGCCGAAGTTGGATGCCTAACCGACTGAGCCACCTAGGTGCCCCTCTAAACACCTTATTTTGGAGAAATTCAACTAGATCCTCAAGAAGGGCAAGTGACATAACAAAGGACACCCAGTCACATGGATCTGCCCATGACAGCCACAAGAAACTCCAGGCCAGTAATTAATGCAGTTCCATGTGCTTGAAAATTCGACAAAAAGCCAGAAATGTTGGGAACGTTGGTCTTCAGGATTCTATAGCCCCCCAGAGAAAGAGGCCTCCCTGAGGGGCAGAGCAGGCCACACCTCCCCACCCCACCAACGCCCTCACACCTGAGTGATGGGTGACAGCTGGGAGAGGGTGGGCGACACCTGCTGGGCCTGCTGTCTCCTGGCCTCTGTGTTCAGGGACAGTGGGCTGACGCCGGCTGGACGGTGCTGCGGCGAGGAGCCTGGTGTGCTCATTCCTGAAAAAGAGAACAGGAGAGGAGGGTGGGCATGACTCTGGCCTCCAGAGGGCTGCTCGCACACTGTGATCACTGCTGGGAGCAGCCCAGTCACTCAGACAGAATCCACTGTGTCTAATCACCAAACCCAGGGTACCCCCTCCAAGGCTCCAAGGCCTGCGTGGGCTCTGTTCTCTTTCCTGCCCCGGCCCCATGCTGGCCAGCACTGCCCCCCTGATCCTGCCATCCCTCCCAGGGGCCTGTGCCAATCGGCACTGCCCTGTCTCTGGCCCACAAGAAAGGCCCCCAGATGGACATGTGACTGGACTGGCCCAATGAGAGCCTGCCCTGGGACTTCTGCTGGGACTCCAAGGGAGGTCTGGGGCTGTGCGGGGAGAGCGCCATGTGGCCACAAGGGGAAGAGCCAGTGGAGGATCAGGGGCTGAGCAGAGGCAGCACCTGAGCTCTAGATCCAGCCACAGCGGTGCTTCCTGGTTTTGGGAGATAATCAGTGCCCCCATTTTTGCCTAAACTGGCTTGGGTTTTGGTTAGCTTCAAGCAAGCTGGTTCTGCCCAGAGGCTGCAGTTTCCTCTACAGCCTCATGCTCTCAAAACCATACCATTCTGTAACTAACTACTCTTTCAGCCAGATCTCCCTTCAGCCCCAGACCCGTGTACCTGGCAGCCCCTCCCCCATCTCACGTCCACACCCTTCTCCTCTCACCTCGTGTGCTCTCCGTGCTGGACCAGCAGCCCTGCTGGGCTGGCCAAGCTAGAAACTCGGGGACTCTCCCTCTATTCCAACACCCTTGTTCCTGATCGAGCTCCTGGCAGGAGGGCCCCATGTTGCCCCTTCCCTCACCCTGGCCCCCTCCCCGAGCGATCCCATCCCTGGAGGCGTCTGTTGTGCAGGAGCTGAGTGAGGTCAAGTTCAGTAAGGAAGCAGTTGGGGCCTGCTGGGTTATCCTGGGGCACGGTGCCAGGGAGGCAACAGGCCTCCTGATGCTTGCGGGAGCCCTGGGGTATTGGCTCGATCTCCCAGCCGGTTTCCTTGTCCTTGAGATGGAAACGATAACAGCCACCCTCAAGGGTTCACCGTGAGGCCCTAATGAGGTTGTGAGCAGGCTCTGAAGACAGTCTGGCCAGCAGTCAAGGCCGGTGGTGCAGAAGCCTGACTCACACGGGGTAGCTGGGCCCCTTCTGTCGAGGGCATCAGATCGACCTTGTTCCAGCAGGTGAGACGGCAGGTCCACAGGCCAGTGGGAACGAGCCGGCACCCAGCGTGGGGAGATGACGGGCGGCCTTCCCTCCGCCTGAGGGCAGCTGCTCGCCGGCTGTGTCATCGGTGCGAGGCAAGCCTGGTCACGCCCGCACTTCCCCTCGGTCGCCCTGGCAGCTCCTGGCCGTGCACTGCAGGAGGGCCTGGAACAGTGCTCCCGAGGCAGAGCCCCGGGTTCCAGGTTATACACACAACTCGGGCCCCAGAATCAGGCCGCTGCAAACACAGCAGCACCAAGGGGGCCCTGACAGGAAGCCTGAGCAGGGAGAGCCCAGGAGACGCCTCGCCAGAGAACACTCGGTGTCGGGACCACAGGCTGCTGCCTCCTCTTCTCTGAGCACCCACTACTTCTTACGCCCTTCGGGCCGAGAACACTCAACACCCCAGGAGCAGATGTCTGGGCTCAGTAAGCAGCAGAGGCAAACGTCAGGAGAGGGTCGGTGGAGCGACAGGGGCAGGAGGCGCCTGTGACCCAGGAACTCGACCTACCACTGCTGGGCCTTCTGATTCTTCACGAGAAGCCAGAACTCCAGAGCAGTCTCCTGATTTCCGAATGCTGATTTCAAGCATCACGCACGCAGTCATGGGCCAGACAAAATACCCGGGCAGGCTGGATTTGGTGCTTGGGTTGCCAGCCTCTGTCTAGCTTGAATACAAGGGAGCTTTTAATCCTCTGCTGGGCTGTAGAGCGAGCCCCTGGTCTCACACCAGGTGGCCACCACCCCAAGAGAAGCCAGTTGGGCTGGGAGGGTGGACGGACACCTTGCTGTTGAACTCCTTTTGGCAACCTGGATTGCCTTTGGGAAAAGGAGTGAGGCCAGCTGGAAAGGAAGTCTGGGGTGGGCAGGGAGAGCTGCCAGGGGAGGGCAGGCCAGGTGGCGGGGGCCCAGCCAGAGGCACGCAAGCCTTGTACGCGGGGCTGGCAGGCCTCAGAAGCCACGCCAGGGAGGAGGACCAGGCCTGCCCTCCTCTGGGTTCCGGCCAACCATCAGGAAAACGACCTCAGCAAGTGCTTAAGAGGACGAGAGGGGCCGCTGTCTCCTTGGAGGCAGAAGCCTCCCATTCTTCCTCGAGGGGCTCATGTTCCAAGTGGCGGGTGGGCTGGGGGGGTGATCTTCACGTGTGCCAGGGGCCGGAGGCTCGACTTGATTTAAAATGCGCCCAGAAAGCGGAGCCCCTGCCAGGCGAGCTGCTAGAGCGGCAGGTTCGCAAACAACCGAACACATGTCAGACATTACCGGGCGGACGCTCCCAGCCAGGCAGGCCGGGGTCTGGGCCCCACGCTCGGGGTCTGCGCTTGTTCCCGCGTCTATGGCTTTCACATGTGTTGTGTTTTCCTGTGCTTGTTTAGACTCGGCGTGGGCTGGAGGTGCATGGCTCCCGGGCGGGTGCTGGGGGGCTGCCAAGGACCCTCTGGAGGAGGGGGTGGTGCACTGGAGGCCACGGCAAGACGTGAGGAGAAAACCTGGGGCCAGGAAGCAGCAGTGCCTGCAAAAGCTCTCCCCCCACCCCCCGTGTCCCCAGAGCCGACCTTCTGATTTCTTACTTTGCACAGGCCAGTGTGGATACTGCTTGCCTGCCCACCTCTCAGGGGCCATGGGTCTCAGGCTCCCCTGAATCTACTCATTTTGTCCTGGGGATACAGTGGAGGCTGATGCCCTCTGCCTAGTGGCTGAGCCTTGGCGGGCACGGGGCCAGGCATGTACAAGCAAGAACAGAGCCTCAGTGCTCTTAGGCCAGGGTCTTGCCCCCCCTTTCCACTGTTCTGGACTCTATTTCCTGGTCTAGAAACCGAGGAACACTTGCACTGCCCTTAACATCCCTCACCTGCCTCTGGCCTTGTCAGCACCAAAGCCAGGAATAACTCCGGGCTCAGGAGCCTCTGTTCCCCATAATGTGGGCCAGCCAGCTTGACCTGGAAGTCTCTCTAGAGTGTTCAGTGGGGCCCGGCCCTGGCACTGCCACCCCTCCTGATAGCCTGTTTTCCCTGGGTGGCCAGAAGGGCTGCGGCAAATGTGAATTAGAGCGTGTGATTCTCTCTCAGAAAACCCTGCATGGTGCTGCCCACCATGCTCAGGGCAGAGGTAAGACAGGCAGATGGAGGGGGCAAGCATCAGCTCCTGGGCAGGATGGAAGGCACAGCAAGACAGTGCTCTCACTAGTCACCAAGTCCTGACGTGTGTGGACTCACAGAGGGGTCCCCGTTCTGCCCTTCCTAGCACGAGTCTGTTGGGGCTGCCTTGTCTCCTCCCTATGCAAACCCACACATCCCACAGTCAACATCGGGGCAAGAATCACAGAGAGGATGGGGGTCAGAGTGGGGACATGGGAAAGCCAGGCCTGGCCCAGGGAACAGATGAGAGCGAAGCAGTGACTCAACAGCAGCAGGGTGAATGAAGAAAAGCAATGCAGAGTGAGAGGCTGGGGGTGAGGGTGTGGGCAGGGGGCCATGATGGCTCACTGAGAAGAGGAGGCGTGGGCAGGGATGGGGTGGGTGAGGGGCTCTGCAGCCACCTGGAGGAAGAGGCCTGTGGGAGAAGGGTGGCACGTGCCAAGGCCCTGAGGTGGGCTCACTGGCCAGAGAGGAGATGGTGTGGGGGGCAGGAGACAAAGTCAGAGGGTGAATTGTAGTTGGCCTCCCCGGAGCCCAGGGGTCTCAGGTTTTCATTGGGAGGGAGTGGAGGACCCATGCAAGGTCCTGAGCAGATGAGAGCCATGAGGTGATGGCCATTCTGGGTGAGAAGAGGCTGAGAGCTGGTGGGGGGTGGGGGCAGGCACGTGGAGGCCACGCAAGGTAGAAAAGGTCCAGGTTGGTCTGGGTCCCAATGGTGGGGCTGTCGGGATGCATCAACACTCAGGGCAGGCAAAAGAACAGAAGAGGAAGCCACTGGGAAACTGTGCTGCTCGTCCCCAGAGAAGTGGGGTTGGGGCAGCACTGGGAGCTATCAGGAGAGTGAGAAGCCTGTGGGATGTCCCCTTGAATGTGGCCTGGACTGGAGTGTCCCAAGCAGGTGCAATGCGGGGGGAGCAGGTCAGGACTGGTCCTGGCCCTCCATGAAGAGCTGAGGACAAGGAGAGGTGGGGGGAACCCAGCATACCCCAGCCGGGTCAACCCCTTGGGGGCTCCCCTCCTAGAATGTTTTGGACTCACCCACATTCTCTGAAGCCCTCCGGTACACACTCAGAGCCACTGTTTGATCCCTGGCGACACTGTGAGTTTTCAACACGCCCAGGTTTTTACCAAGGCTGTGCCCTCTGCCTCAGATGTCTTTCCTGGGCAATACTGGGAAAGCCAAGCCCCTGGGGTAGGTCCTGCCTCCCATCCCATGCCCAGTGTTTTGGATGTCATCTGCTAAATCTTTACCAAAGCCCTGTGTTGTCTCCACCAGGCGCGGACCTCTCAGGGAAGGAAGCTCCCTACCTTCTGGCCTGGCCTTACCCTGGCTGGCGCCGCCGATGCCCAGATGAGTCAGGTTGGCTGCGAGGTTGCCGGTGCTGCTGGAGCTGCTGAGCGCGGGGAAGGTGGGCTCCTCAGGGTCCAGTGGGGTCGGGAGGGGGGAGGGGAAGTGTATGTTGGTCAGGTCAGGCAGGGAGCCCCCTGTGTTGTGGGTGGCGGGGATCAGGGCTGTAGTGTTTTCCTGGTCAGCGGATGGAAAGATGCTGGGGGGAAGGCCAGACAGAGGGGGGAGGTGAGCTCTCGCCAGCCCATTCTTCCCCGGAAGCTGTGGCGGGGGGGCATGGTGTGGGGGAGACTGGTGCCAAAAAACTTAGCCTGTGACTAGGCGCTACCATGCTCAGAAAAGGACTGTCAGCCTGTGCCTCCAGGGGGACCTTAGGAAGCAGCCCACCTATGTAGGGTAGGAGGCTGGGGTGAGGGTCCTCCTGCTGCCCAGGGACGGCGTGTGTCTGAGGAGCAGGCAAGCTGGGGCCGAGCAGGGGTAGGGGTGGGGTGGGGCTCGGGCAGCTCGGGCAGAGAAGGGTAGAAGGGCCTCATTCCCCCCCACCCCCACCCCAGCGAGGCTGGTTGAATGGTGGCCAGCGGCAGGGCACCCCTCTTGTCAGGACTTGCAGCCTCGTGAGCTAGCGGACGGGAAGCCCTGGGGCCATCTGAGCAGCGCTGACAGCCCTGGGCATGCAGGGTGGGCCCTGCTGAGACTTACTTGATCCCGGGGACCTCGCAGGACTTGGGCCTGGACCCCGTCTGAAAGAGAAGACAGACAGCAGAGGCTGAGCGGGCCTCTTGGCATGCTGTGGCTCCTCAGGACTTGGCTGACCATGTCACGAGGGCCGGAGGTGCTCAGCGAAGAGGGAGTTCCTCAGGTCCCAGAACATCTCACAGACCAGAACCAGGCAACCTCAAAGGCAGAGGGGTCGTCCCCGGCAGCCCAGGGGCAAAACCAAGAGTTCTGTGCAGAGGGGCCTCCGTCGCTCCCAACACCAGCTCCTGCCCTTGGTGGCAACCAGGCACACCCAGCCTGTCTGCCCATAAGGTGGGCACAGCACAGGGTGACATGGTCCCTTGTCAGAGCAGGCACCTGGGGAAGAATGTGGCTTGTCCGGTCTACACCTGAAAACCCCAGGGGTGTGCCACAGCTGTGGGAAACCTGGGCGCCCCGGCCCAGTGCCCCATCCCATTCCCGAGTCAGAGGGGGAGGGGACTCTGGGGCAGGGGCTTCCCCTGCTCAGCATCCACTTGTCCATGGCAGGAAAGTACACCACGTGGGGCAGCATGAGGAGGCTCAGACTGGGGCCCCTGAGCACACAGAGGGCGCGCCCCATGCCCTCAGCTGGCCCACCTTCCAGCGGTCCCTCAGCTACGGCCCTCACAGGGCCCCGTGGTGCTGCATGTGCTCCGATGCACCCCCACCTGAGGATGAAGACTGGCTGCCCCGTGGGGCTGGGAAGGGGGTCCCAGGGAAACCCCGGTGGCAGCAAGACCCTGGTCTCCTCCCCTTCGAGCTGGGGCCACTACGCCAGCCTAGAACTGGAGGCTCTAGGCACAGCCCCTAGACTCTCATTCAAGGACAAAGGAGGAAACTCGTCGGATGGCGGCAGACATGACTGGACAGAGCCCGCGTGCTATGCTGTTGGAGGGGACTGTCAGCATGTGTCACATTCCCTCATTCTCTATCTACCTCACAGGCCCTCAGGCTGATGTGTTCTTTAGGGATTATCAGATAAGAAGGTGGATGCACTGGAGGGCTGTGGACTGGATGTGCACACCCAGTGGGGGGAGGGACGCTGGGGGGGGTGCCGGCAGTGACTGGGGACCCTGAGGGGTGGTGTGCCACCAGCAGCGTTAAGCCTCTGCAGAGAATGCCAGAGGAACGGGTTTCTACTTGGCCACTGGCTCCTTAATTCTGTGAGTAAATACTCGCTTCATTACCGGATTTTTTCAAAGCACGATGACAATGACTTTCTAAAGAACCTTTCAAAAGCATTCCACGAACATTAGAGAGATAACAGTGGATTTCTAAACAGTATTAAAAATTCACCCATCACTGCCCCCGCCCCCCAACAAATGCAGTGGAATCCCTTTACTGACATCCTTGCAGACACATCACTTTGCATGGTAGTTAAAAGTCTGGCCACGATGCCAGGCTGTCTCCCTCTTTTCTCACTCCCAAGATGTCAAGTGTGTTTGCACCAACCCCCACCATCTTCCCTTTCTTTATGGTTCAGCAGCACATTCAGCTGCTTATGAGAACCCCAATGTCCTCACTCACCTGCCTCTCTGCCACTAGATGTTTCAGTGGCTTCCCAATTCTGTTTGAATTCTCTTGGAATTATTTTTCCCCCTGAATATGAAAATCATATGCATTCTTTGTGCAAAATTGGGACATGCAGACATGGATAAAGGGCTGACAATGGCACCCGCACCTGACACTCGTGGGGACACGCCCACCTGCACGCGCCAGTCTGACCTGGCTCTGGTCCTATCACACCCAGGCATCTGTGTGTGTTCCTAGGCATACCCTGGAGATACAGCAGCTTCAGTTCCAGAACACCCCAATAAGGCCGATATCACAGTAAAGCAAGTCAAATGAGTTTTTGGTTTCTTAGTGCATATAAAAGTTATGTTTACGCTACCCTGCAGTGTAAGTGTGCAATAACAGTATGTTTAAAAACGCAACTTATGTGCCTTTAATTAAAATATTTTATTGCTGGGGCGTCTGGGTGGCTCAGTTGGTTAAGTGACGGATTCTTGATTTTGGCTCAGGTCATGATCTCATGGTTTCTAAGATTGAGCCTCACTGTAGGCCTTGTGCTGACAGCAAGGAGCCTGCTTGGGATTCTCTTTCCTTTCTCTCTGCCCTTCCCCCACTCGTGTTCTCTCTCTTTCCCTCCCTCTCTCTCAAAATAAATAAATAAACGTAAAAAATACTTTACTGGGGCACCTGGGTGGCTCAGTTGGTTAAGCATCCAACTCTGGGTTTCAGCTTGGGTCATGATCTCTCAGTTTATGAGCTGAGCCCCGCATCAGGTTCTGCGCTGAGAGTGGAGTGCCTGCTTGGGATTCTCTCTCTCCCTCTCTCTGCCCCTCCCCTGTTCATGCTCTCTCTTAAAGTGAATAAATTAAAAAAAAAAAAAAAAAGTTGGGTGCCTGTGTGGCTCAGCTGTTAAGCATCTGACTCTGGTTCAGGTCATGATCCTATAGTTCATGAGCTCAAGCCCCAGATGAGCCTCACTTCTCTCTCTCTGCCCCTTGAGGGATTCTATCACAAAAAAACAAAAACAAAAACAAAAACAAAAACGACACACACACGTAAAAAAAAAAAAAAGCATTATTGCTAAAAATGTTAATCATCATGTGAGCTTTCAGTGAGTCGTAATCACTGATCAAACATCACATAACAAATGTAATAATAATGAAAAAGTCTGAACTATCATGGCAAGAATTACAAGAATGTGACACAGAGCACAAAGAGAGCAAATGCTGTTGGAAAAATGGCACTGATATTCTCGCTCAACACGGGGTTGGCACAAACCTTCAGTCTGTAAGATAACGCAGCATAAAAAAGCAAAGTACAATAAAAGGAGGTGTGCCTGTCCATCTCTAAGTGTTTTATGCCTTATCCTGTTCCTCCCACAGAACAGCACTATCATGAGTGTCACTCATGCCTTTAAAATTCCTTCAAAAATCCCAACTCAACGTGTGTGGTGCTTTCCACACGAGGTATTGAGGATAATTTCCTTCTAATCCCCCCACTGTTGAACATTCAGGTTGTTTCCAATTGATTTTGAAAGTTCTGAACACATGCCTTTGAGGATCACATCGCCGTTTGCTCATTTGTCACTTCCTTATGATTTCCTGGAGGGGATGAGCAACGCATGGTGATGCCCCTTTCACTACAAACTGACCAGCAATGGGTTTTAGTTCTTTCTTTCTTTTTTTAATGTTTTATTTATTTCTAGGAGAGAGAGAGAGAGAGACAGCGTGAGCAGGGGAGGGTCAGAGAGAGAGGGAGTAACAGACTGAAACAGGCTCCAGGCTCTGAGCTGGCAGTCAGCACAGAGCCTGACGTGGGGCTCGAACCCATGAACCGCGAGATCATAACCTAAGCGAAAGTCGGATGCTTAACCGACTAAGCCACCCAGGTGCCCTTTTAATATTCAAAACAGGCTTAATATTCAAAACAGGTTCAGTGTATTTTGTTCTATTCAAATTCTTTGAAATTTGTATTCATGGCACAAATTCTATCTTACCACTAGACATTTTATAGGTTGAACTTGAGAAATTTGTTTCTGGACCTGGAGGTAATATAGAGATTTCAACTCAGTTGGAAATTCCAAGTAGACTTTGTACTCTAATAAAAGTTGCAGTTATTGTGCAGAATGGAAGTTTTTTTTTTTTTAATTTATTTCTTTATTAATGGAAGTTTAAAAGTGACTGTAAACACGCATAAACAATGACGCCTACCTAATACTATGGGTTAGTAGAAAGATCACAGGCTAAGAATCAGGAGGTACAGGTTCTAAACCCTGAGTATCTTCACGGCCTGGGACAAACCACTTAACCTCCACGGCTTCCACTTTTTTTTACTGAGCTATAACTGATGTATTATATTAGTTTCAGGGTATATTTGTATGTACTGTGAAATGATCACCACCGTAAGTCTAGTTTGCAGCCAACACCATACATGCTCCATGAATTTGCATGCCATTCTTGTGCAGGGGCCATGCTAAGCTCTATATGGTTCCAATTTTAGTACATGTGCTGCCACAGCGAACATGGGTTTTAATTCTTCATGGCTTCTGCCAGTATAACAGGCCTATTTGACACTAACAGAAGGCCTGGCCAAATCTGAGCGATGACCACACTTCAGGGAAGGTGTGCTATTTCTCTACCTTCAGCTAGGTTGTTCTTAAAAAAAAGATCAAGAAGGAAAATGTTTTTGAAAGCCCTTAGACTCTTACCTTCTTGGTATCCCATGCTTGCTTGGAAAGATTCTTATCTGTCTCCGATGTAGTTTCCTCCATTCCTGGGACTGTTAATAGTAAGACTGGGGGGGGGTGGGGGGGGAGAAAATCAGAACCTTTCACTTTGAAGTTATGTGATACTGACGTGGGGAGCTTCCCTGACATTCAGAGTTACAGCTATGACACAACTGCCCCAACAGAAACTTCTGGGGATTGCACTAGAGTATAAAAGGGTTTCATTCAAAACACAACAAAAAACACTTAAAAAAAAAAAAAAAAAGTCAGAAAATGGGAGCTCTGGAGCTGAGGACATGTACTGATTCTGCCTCCCATGGGAGCAACTCAGGCCTTGAAGGCCTCAGGCTGCGGGGAACAGCAGAGAATTTCTCCCAGCCTCCTCGCCCTACCCACCTCCTTGTGGTCACCTGCCTCCTAGGCCATGCTGCTCAATGCAAGCCGGGGCTGGTCAATCTACTTGTTGTAGTTCCAACGCCAGCCAGCCCCAGAGGAGGAGACGAGGGCAGGGAAGGTCTGGCGGACTAGACAGGTATCATTTAAGGCCCTGGAACCAGCTGTGCCTGAAGGCCCCTTTCTTAGGACCTTTTGAGATTAAACACTTTCTTTCTGAGACCCAGTTTCTTTATACCTATTGGAGGTTCAGTCTTTCACTTTTTTTTTTATATATATTTTTATTTATTTCTAGGGGAGAGAGAGAGAGAGAGACAGCGTGAGCAGGGGAGGGTCAGAGAAAGAGGGAGTGACAGACTCTGAAATAGGCTCCATGCTCTGAGCTAGCAGTCAGCACAGAGCCCGACGCGGGGCTCGAACCCACGAACCACGAGATCATGACCTAAGCGAAAGCCGGTCGCTTAGCCGACTAAGCCACCCAGGTGTCCCCAGTCTTTCACTTTCAATAGAGCCATACTGAATACAGCCAGATGGGTCAACTCTTCCTCTTAAAAACCAGACTCAGCTGTGGGGGGGCATGGGAGGGAAGCTAGGCCGACCCCACCCCACTCCCCCGCCCACCCCCTCACTGCTTGGGCTCCTCGTAGAGACACAGGGGCAGGTGACATGTGTCCCCTCTCTTTAGGCTGAGGGCCCCCGGACTGCAGCTCCCTTCCGTGGTCACAGAGTCCCAAGGGATGACACGTGCCCTGGAAAGCCTACCCTGAAAGTCCCATTCTCCTGGGGAACGCACCAAGGAGACGGCCCCTTCAGAACAGCTCCCAACACTGGGAACAGGAGGGAAGCACCTAGTGCCCTGTCCCTTCACCCCCGGGGCATTTGGAATCCTCACTTTTATTATCGAAATGGTTCCTTCTGCAATCTCACCTTCACTGTCTGATGAACAGGGGAAGATGGCATGCGCAGACCCCCCCAGCCCCCAAGGGGTTAAGTTCTGGTTGATAATCCTTATTCTATAGCAGAAGCTCCCTGGTATGTTTACAAGTTCACACAGTGCAATGTTACCCGAAAATGGGTGTTTGGACCTTAACTGTATGTGATCAATTCTTTGGTTTCAGGGCCTCTGGGCAGATCAAACCTGCTGGGATTTCCCGAGGCTGGCCACACAGCACTGTGCTTCTCTTTAGGTGATGGTGCCCCAGTTTTTAAGATGGATGTATCCTCCTAGACGGTCCTGAGGACACTTCCCCTGTGCCCAGCTCCAAGGAGGCCAGGGGCCAGGGCACAGATCTGGCCCAGGGATGTTATGTGTGGCCCAGGCAGACAAGAGCCTGGGCGAGAGGTGGGAAAGAACGGCCCCTTTCTCACCCACAGTAGGCAGAATGGGCACAGGGAATGTGAACCAGGAGGGTTCTGAGCAGCAATGCCAGGAAATGGTCCAGTGCGAAGCCCTAGATGGAGCTGCACCCGAAGCTGAGGCTCTAGCTCCGGACTGCTTGGTCATGAGCTGATAAATGCCTCCTTTTGCTTGGCTTGCTGCCCACTACACCTGAAAGAACCTGTAAGGCCCCCATTCTGTGTGGCCATGCCCTGAATCCATGAGTGGAAGCCAGTGTGTGTTTGCAGAGGCTGTTTTCTCTGCCTAGAAAACTCCTATGCACTCTTTACAACCCAACTCAAGCAGCACCATCTCTCAAAACTTCCACGCCCCTCCCTTTGTCCCATTGCACCCAATGACTCTTCCTTTTGCAGGTCTGTCCATCTATGAGCTTGTGACCTCTGGGAGCATGGGGGTCACCCACTGGATTCGCCTGGCCCAAGGAACGATGTCCGCCAATACCTCTTTTCTGGTGTGCGTCCTGGGACCCGCCCGTAAAGGGCTCTGGTTGGGTGGGTGTCATTGTGCTCTGGTGCAGGGCAGAGTCAGAATTGGTCCTAAGGAGAGGAGAGAGACAGTGAGCCTGGGACACAAAGGGGACGATGGGACAGTCCTGGTTCCACTCTATCCAGGACATGATCAATGGGTCAGCATGGGAATAGTGGGTCATTTTTGTGAGCTGTTGCACCTGCATAAAACTCTAAGGACACTGTTCTCTAAAGAACCACAGGAGTGACCATGACTTTGATCTGCAAAGCCTGTTGAAGACAAAAAGCTGCAGCAGAGCTATCCCTCCATTCCTAACCAGCTCCTCCCTACCCCCATCCCCCCTGTGGGCTTCTCAGCTTTAGGGAAAGGACCATGAATTCCTGCTGAAACGCACCGGAGAGGGGGCCCAATGGTCCCACAGTGGCCCAGGCTTGGGGGTACAAGTCCCCAGCCCATCACTGGGTCTCCTTCTGGTGACAAAGAGCAACGGGCAACCCTGACCCCTACCCCCTGGATGCTCAGTTACAAACCAGGAGTGATTAGCAGAAAGGGGAGGCAGTGATATGAGGCTCAGAGAATGACCCAGAAAGAATGCAGCCCCTGGGGAGGGGAGGTGGCATGAGGGAATATTTGGGGGGCGAGGTCTTCATTCAACCAGCCCAAAAGCTGCCAGGAGCTCTGCCTTCTGCACGGGGGACAGAGGACCTCAATGTACTTCCAGCTGCAGGTGCCTGGAGGGAAAGTCCCCAGACGACCCCCTCAGGCACCCAGGAAAGTGTGGGCACCCAAGGTGTGCTGGGAAGATGAGCAAAGGTGGGTCCAGTCACATGGCTGGCACTTTGGGGATGAAAGTGAGAGCAGCATGAATCCAAAAGGGACATGCCAGCCACTGAGAGTGACATGGAGGAAACGACTCAAGGAAAAGAGCAGGTTTTAAAGGAGTGGTCTGGCTGAATACTCTGACACTGGGGCCAGTCGAGCAGTGAGAAGCTGGTCTGGATCCTGGCTCCCATACCAGCTGTGTGTCCCTGAGCAAGTAGTCTGACGTCTCTGTGCTCACTTTCTTTACATGGAAAATGCAGAGACTAAAAGCTCACCTACTCTACAAAGCTCTGTGTGTTTTATGTTACCTAATGAATATGATGGTTGATATACGGCCTGATATATAGTACATGCTTGGTAGGAATTTAATTACATTACTGAATTATACATTACATTACGTATTGTATTTCATATGTTTGGTTTTTGTTTTTTTTTTTTAACAGTTTGCTTACTTTGGTCTTTGTTTAACGAATTCATATATATATGTGTGTGTGTGAATGTGTGTGTATGTATCACAAAATCTACCATTTTAACCACTTTTAAATATACACTTCTCTGGTATAAGTGTATTCGGACTGGCGTGCAACTGGTGTGCAACTGGTATAATAAATACCTTATTTATTATAGGTATTAACTGCATTATTATTATTTTGGACCTCTGTAGATGAGGACATTATTTTTTTTCCTCCTCCAGGTACACTTATGTGTCTTCCTAATAATCTGGTAATAAATGTATAATACTTTTCTAATCACATTTTCAATGACTGTTAACAATGTGGGAAACCACTCATAATATAGTATTAAATAGAAAAAGGTAATTACAACACTGAATAGCCAGTGTAATCCCAACTTTGTTTATGAAAAAAAAGAAAAAAAAGTCATGAAAGGAGAAAAAAAAATCCCTGGAAAACTCCACACCTATGAGCTTGGTGTTACAGGGATAGAGCTGATTTCTAGAAACTTCCGGATACTTCTTAGTTTTGTCATTTTAAAGTGACTGCATATTGGTTTTCCAAGTACAAGCATGATATAAGTTTGTTTTTGTTTCCAACAAGAGGGCTGAGGGCCGGCTCTGGGTCACTGACCTTCTCCAGCTGGTGTCCGCGGGCGGCGAGAGGTACACGGTGCCGTATGGGCAGCTGTCCGCTTGAGTGTGAGTTAAGGGGAGCGCTGTTGGCTCAGGCCCCACCCCGAGCCCCAGGACCCCTTGTGGCCAGGCTGCTGGGAGCCTGTGAACAGCTGGGGCTGCAGGGCGGGGGCCTTTCCTGCCTGGCTGCGAGCAGCCCCCGGGGTTCAGCCCTATCCACCTAGCACTCAGCACTCACCCCCTGCAAGCACATGTGCAGGCTGCACCCTTTCCAAGAGGGGCTCGGCTGTGAAACTGGGGCCCATGGGGGAGATTGGGGAGTCTGGTTCAGTTGACCTGGGTCTTGACTCTTAATTCTAGGCTGACAGGGTGGCTCCCGGGGCCTGAGGGCTCTGTCTGAGGCCCAGCCTGTCAGGCTGCCCCAGCCACGGAAATGAGAACTGGGAAAGAACAGGCTTCTCTGTTCTAGAATGCTGGGGGGTCCCGAGAGCAGTCGCTCAGACTCTGGTGATGGGAGGAGGGGGTCTGGCTGGCCAAGCACCAAGGGACGGCCAAGTCTTGGGGGTGGGGGAGAAGCTCCTGCCGATTTCTGCTTGGCCAAGGTGCAGAGGCGAAGTCTCGGGTCTTCAGATGGGGCCTCCCTCGGATCTGTCTGGGCCCGGCTCAGACGCCCTTAAGCCCCACTGCCCAGGCTGGGCTGCCCTCTGCATGGCCCCAACATGTGGACATCCTGCTCACAGCCTTTCTGAGCTCCACTGCCCAGCCAGATGTCTGACAAAGCACGGTCCGACCTCACCTTCCCCAACCAGCTCACACTGCATGCTCCAGCAGTCTGTGTCCCTGCGCCCTGTGAGGCCCCCACCCGCCAGCCACAGGCTCTTCAGCCAGCCACGCTGCCTGCCTCCTCCAGGGTGGCCCTGCAACTGCGCCCTCTCTTGGTGCTGCCTGGGGGGGCTGGGTCGGCCCTCCCTCCATCTCTGGGGCTGGCAGCTCAGTCAGCTAGACTCGGTCCTGTGGTCATCAACAGCCCCCGCGCCCATTCTCTGGGTAAAAGATATCTGCCGTCCATGTTTGTCCACTGACAAGGGCCGGCGATGTGGGGAGCCAAGCCGGCCACGCTCTCGGTATACTCTGTCCACCAGCCCGTGGTGCCGGGTGGTTCGGCTGGTGTCCAGGCCCGAGGACTGGAAGGGTGTCTGGGCGAGGGGAGGGGTGGGGAAGAAGGAGACCAGAAAAGAGAGAGAAACCCAAACGGTTATCAGGTGTGGCCTAAGATCCAACCCAGTTCTGCCCCCAGGACCTGACCTCAGGGCCCCCCACTCCTGAGACACCCTTTGTCACCGCTCTGCAGCCGGGACGGGCTTCCTCCTCCAGCCAGGGGCCCCAGCCTTGAGCACTGCCCGGGTAGGGGTGAGCTGGGGATCCTGGGCGCCGGGCGGCAGGCGTGCAGTGCGGCCGGCATGCACGGGCCAGGCAGAGCAGCACAAGCTCGGGGCCCGGTGCCGGCTAGGGTGCCAGGGGTGCAGACGGCCCAAGCGTCCCCCCAGCCTCGCCAGGTGCAGACAGGCCTCCGCCTTCTCTCTCTGGGCCTGGCTGGCCTCCTCTCCCCACCTACGTCATCCCCGGAGGGGCCTGCCAAGAGACGGCCCCCAGGGCTTCCAGCCGAGGACGTCAAGGGGCCCACCTGGCCAAGTGCTGGCTCCCCAGAGGCTCCTTATTGAGACCTGGCCAGTCTTGATTGAGATAAGTCCCCCCACTTGCCCTCCCCCACCACCTCATCCCTTTATCACTGGAGCCAAGTGCAAGCACTTTCCGGAGCCCTGGCCCACGGCTTGGTGGAAGGGGCTTCCCTTCCAGCACCTGGGGCTGGCACAAGGCCCCTCCCTCCCCCCCTCCCCCGCCAGACCCTGCTCCCTCTCCCAGCTCTGTGCCCCTGAGGCCCTTGGGAGCCTGCCCCCTGCCTGCCCTGGTGCCACAGGGCTCCTCGCCATCTGACTGGGGCGAGACTGGCAATCATAGCAGCTCTGGAGGCAGCCAGTCCCCCACCCAGCCATCTGGCCCTTGAGCCCTTCTGTCTTCTCCGGGCAGCCAGGCAAAAGCAATTTCCTTCCGGAAGACTGCCACTGGCTGGAATCACTGCTCTTCCCTACCCGTCCAAATGCTTGGGCCAGCGTTCAGGGTGGACTGCTCTCCCTGGAGTCTGGGGCCCCCTGTCTCTCTCTGACCCAGAAAGGACCCTGCCAGCTTGGGTCTTTTTACACTTTTTGCCTCCAAAGGGCCTTGGGCCTGAGAGACTTCAGCCGCCGAGGGAAGGTGGGAACCTTGCCATCCAGGCACAAACAACGGAGGGAAGGGGCTGTTCACCTCCTCCCAGAGACGCCTAGAGGGCCAGAGGGGAAACCAAGGCAGCCGAAGCAGAGCCAGAGGCGGAGAGAAGCTCAGGCCCGGCCACAGCCCAGCTCCCCAGGCTGCGCCTAGGATCCACACACACACACACACACACACACACACACACACGTGTGCATGTGCCACAGGAACGAAGCATGCAGCATTGATGCCCATGCTCGCATCCCCCAGGCGGAGGGCCTCTCAATGCAACTACACGCACGTCCCTGTACAGGGCAGGGGGAGGTGCAGAGTGGATCCACTTCTGTTTGGCAGACAGGACACTTCCCACGAGGCCCCTGGGGGCCCACGCAGTGATACCCAGCACCCGTGCGCGTGCCAGGGACGCCAAGGCCTCAGCCCAGGGGCTCATTTACCAGAGAGACAGGAGCCGCTGCCAGGGCCTCCCCCAGATATCCGCTGGGCTGAAAATGCAAAGAACCGAGACTTTGAGACACTCCTGCCTCATGTGGCCCCCCAGTGGGATGCCTGACAGGCCCCAGTATACCCCTGGCCCAGGGAGGCTCTAGGCCAGCCCTAGGCAGGGCCGTACTGGGGGGCTGCCCAGAGACATGCTCTCCTTGAGGGAGAAGGGGATGGGGAAACAGAGGAAGAGGAGAGGCGGGAAGAGGGGAGAAAACTCGAACTAGGAAGGGCCTTCACAAAGACTTCAGGCTCTTGGAGCACATTCAGGATCAGCGCAACAGCCCCACGTGTCTGCTCCAGCGAGGGGGCCATCTGAGGAGGGCCGTGCTCCGAGGTGCCCAGGGGGGCGGCAGAGCTGAGCCAGGAGGGCCCCGAGCCAGTGTCCTGCAGCATCCCAGCGCTGTTGTGGGAGGAGTAGGAGCTGGGAGTGACTCGGGTGGGTGGGGGACGGAGCTCCATGAGGGACGAGTCTGGTTACACCTGGCCTGTCAACACATGGACAGACGTGGCTGTTTCTGAGGCCCTGTCCCAGCAAAGGGGCGGGTGTGTGGCCGTCTGATGGACCTGTCCCTACAGAGCTCAGACAAGCTGGGGAATGGTCCCAGCTCTTGGCCCCGTTCCCAGGCCCACCTTGCCCCTGCTTCCACCTGTAGACTAGGGTCAGGGCCCAGCCTGGGGTAAGGAGGCAGCCCTGAACCCAGGCGGTGGGCCTTATCTCTCATTATTTATGATAAGGACGTGCACGGCGGCTGTGTGGCCTGCGGGAGCCGCGTTGTGTGCGTCTCTGCCAAGAAACGTTTGCAGACAAGTGGGGTCAGGCCACAGGGCCTCCTTGTGAGAATTGCTGGGCTTGCGGATTAGTGAGGCAGGATGGAGCCAAGCCCCAGAGGCCCCGAGCGGTTCCCGATGCCGCACAGCCGGCCAACAGGTGTAGCGGCTGCTGAAACGCTCTCGGCCAGACCACAGCCTTGCTGTGGGCTCTGCTGACAGGGGACAGGCAAGGGCCAGGCCATCTCAGGGACAGAAAAAGAGTTGGTGGGGGCAGGGTGAGGCGGGCTGCGGCAATTATTTGGTGACCCCAGCTATCCACTGCGGCCGACACACGCTTGCTCTGTGACCAGGGTGGGGCCCAGATGTGACGTGCACCAGGTGGGAGGCTGTGTAGGGGCACGGGGGCTCACCTGGAAGGGCAGATCCACGGTGCCACTCCCGATCTGGTTCACGTTAGGCAGGGACCCACCGTAGTACTGGCCACGGCTTGGGCCCAGCTGCAGGTACTGAGACTTCTGGAGCTGGAGCTGCAAAAGAAGCCGCAGCTGCAGTGGGGGCTGGAAGCCCACCCGAGCAAATCACGAAGAGCACCACCCCAGGGGCCCAGAAAGGAACCAAGCAGTGGGTCAACAGCATCAGTCACAGACGGTGTGGGACCCTGTGACTCAGATACTCAAAGGAGCCAGGTGTCTCTCCACCCAAAACGGCCGAATCAGAAACCCAGGACGCCCCAAGCAGCAAGCTCTCCCTGGGTAGGGCGATGTGCCCTGAGGGGGGCTGCCTCCAAGGACTGGGGAGCCCTGCTGGTTCACTCACAAGATTTGTGAATGAGCAAGAGAGTATCGGGCAGATCTGGAGCTTACAGCCTGTGGAGGAGGCCCCTCACCCACCCAGGGGAGCCATTTCTTATCACAGCCAAAGGCTGCATTCCCGGGGCGCGGGCCAGAGGCTGCGAATTGACGCCCGGACACGGGAGAAATTGTCTTTCCAATGGCCTGAATCAGAGGGGCCGTCTCAGAAGCACAGCGCTGGCTTTCAAAGTGCAGGATGTGTGATCCCTCCGGCAGCACACACAGGGCAAACGGTCTGCCAGACCCCGCCTGAGTTCGAAAGGGTCCTGCCCAGGCCCGCAGGCTCCATCTGCCTGTCTTGCCGGCCTCGCTGGAGCTGGGGCCAGCGGAGGGCCTTCATCTGGGATGGCCGAATGCCTGCACAGGCTTCTCTCTCCCCGTCACTCACGTGGGGATTTGTCCCACTGGGCCACACCTCAGAACCGGCAGCCCAGCTCCCTGGCCGGCCACGGCTGCCTCGGAGTGAGTGAGGCTCGTGGCCCTCCAACAGCTGATTCCACTTTCCTGGGAACAACAGCATATGCCCCTGACATGGTCAGTGCCACTAATGGCCCTCAGGGCTGAAGGCTGGAGGTCCACGATGCCCGTCACACCCGCTCTGGGAGGCAGGCATTGTGTCTGAGGGCTGGTGGCTGGGCATGCAGGGAGGGTGGGCGTCTGCTCTGGCCCCTGCGGGGGCGGTTGCTAGGGTCGACACTGTGTACACAACAAGGCCGGCTCGCGTTCCTTCACAAACCGCTCCTGGCAGAGCTCCGTGAGCTGGCTGCCCGGCCGCCCCGCTCTCTCCCACGCCGGCCCCTGCTTCCTGGGGGGCCCTGGACACTAGAGAGGGAAGTGAGGCTCGGGAACTGGCTGCCCGCCCAGCAGAGCACCTCACCCAGGTAAACAGCTGTTTCCTGCAGGCTGCGGTGGGGTCAGAAGCGAGAATGACCTTGTTCCATCCTTCGTGGGCGGTTCTTGGGGTCTGCAGGGCTCAGCCCAGGGTCTGTCTCCAATGGCTGGAGACACTCACCATGAAGACTGCGCTGTGTCCCTTTCACCCCACAGTCATGTAAGATGAAACGGGCCAGCCCCCAGCCAGGGGGAGGGGAGACTAACTAGGGTGGGACCCCCAGCCCTGCCTACGCACAAGCCATCGCAGACCCAAGACACTCCGCGTGCTCCCTTGTGTCAGAGCCTCATGGCACAAGCCTGCATTGCACCCACATCTCAAGAGCCATGTGGCCCCCTTCTTGGCCTTGGTTTCCCCCTCCTAGTTGTCCAAGAGTGTGTGGGATGCCTGGCATGTGACACGGGAAGTGCTTACACCCCATGCATTTTTGTCACAGACTGAACTGCCAGCTCTGGGACCCCAGCATCCTGTCCAAGCACTCCACAAAGCTGCCATGTTCCAGGACAGAGAGAGCCTGGCGTTGGGTCGATCTACAGCCCCGGGAACTGACAGGATGCTCATGACTCACGTGCTGCTGCAAAACCAGCCCCCCCCGAGGCCCCACCTCTATCGGAGCCTTTCTTTCCAGCAATGGCCTCCCCCCACCGACCTCCCCTTTGCTATAGGACGGTCTGGGTTTGGAGTAGAAGCTGGGTGGGGCCCTGCTCTTCCTTTGGGGGACCCTGTGCCTGTCCTTGGTTGCATACTGGCTACGTAGGAAAGTCCACAAACTCTTTGTCCCCAGCTCCCGGGAGGCAGAAGCCCTATGAACGTCCTGCCTGACAGGACCACCTTCGTTTGCCTGGGGTCTGGGGCCACACCAGGCGGTCTGTGCCAACAGTGTGATTTAGGGTCTTGAGCCACATGGAGTCAGCTCACCCCCTGCAAAGGACAGGACATGAAGGTCACCCATGTGGCAGTCGGCCAGGTCCCTCGAGGGAGCCCAGTAACAGCCCTGGATACCGGGGTTCAGGGGTGCACCCATGGTTGGCAGTACACCGTGCGTGTTGTGACGCTCCGGTGCTGGGAAAAGCACGAGCCGTCCACACAACGCCACAGAGCAGAGACAACCAGAAGTTCCACGCATGGAACTCTCCTGGATGCCACCCCAGACACCCTGTCCCTCTGTCGATTGTAATCTGGGTCCTTCCACTTGTAAGAAACTGTAACTGTGAGTGTGACAGCTTCCAGTGAGTCCTAAGTCCAGTCCTTCTAGTTGACCTGAGTGTGGTTTTGGGGAACCCCTAGCTTTGCAGGAGCTGCCTGCCCTCCCATGCCTGGCCAGGAGCCCCCAGGAGCAGAGTACTGAAGTGAGAAGATGCCAGCCTGGGGCTCTGCCCAAGGACCTGCTGCCTCAGAGGGTCCAAAGGAAGGAAGGGTAGCAGAGTTAAACCATCAGGCAGGACCTGATGAGCTGCTGAAGGTTAAAGCTCATGCCTCTTCCTGTTGCCAAGCCAGTCTCTCATGCATCCTTCCACCCAGCAGCCCTCACTCCGTGCCCCCACAACGGCACATGCCCCCAACCTTGCCGATAGAGCTCCATAAACTCAGCATCCAAGCCAGGGCCTGTCGCTCAGCAGCACTGCTCATGGAACAAACAAGTGTACAAACATGTGAATGAAGGAATGAATACCACTGTTCCTGCTCTCAGGGGCTGACTTTCACAAGTCAGTGACAGGCCCATCTGGAGGCACACGGGACCTTTCAGGAGGCCAACACAGCTCCCCAAAATATTAGAGGCTCAGAGTCAAAATAAGGCTTGGATGCCTTCTCCTCCCCCGACCTCATCCTCATGGCTGTTGGAAAGGGCAGTGCAGACAGAGAACTGAGGCCCAGACAAGCTTGTCACATGCTGGAGGCCACCTGCTAGAACAGGAGACCTGCATCTCCCAGGGCTCCTCCTTGCTTATGGCCTGTGGGTCAGATAGCTCAGGGTCTGAGTCCTGGCTCCCCGATTATGAGTGGACCCCACTCCAGATATAGAAAGCTGAGTGTGTGTGGGTACCCCATTCCCCATGACCTCTGCTTTCCCCACTCCTTGGCCCCAAAGCACCCTGAGGTTTTGCCCCCCCAGGGCCTTGGACTGTGATGGCCCCCCTTCCATGCCCATCCCATAGGGGCCTCCTTGACACCCCACTGAAGGAGCAGCACCCTCCCCCCAAGTCACTATCATATCAGCCTCTGGCTTTGTTGTTGTTTGTTTAGAGACAGAGCGCAAGTGGGGGAGGGAGGGAGAGAGAGAACCCCAACCATGCTGCCAGCGCAGAGCCCGACATAGGGCTTGAACTCATGAAACTGTGAGATCATGATGTGAGCCAAAATCAAGAATCAGACACTGAACCGACTGAGCCACCCACGCGCTCGTTTTTGTTGTTTTTAATAAAGTTTTCACTGTAGAAGTTTTAGATTTACAGAACTGCAAAGACAGTACACAGTACCCCAACATCCGTCACCCAGCTTCCCCTAAAAGCCACCCCCCTGCCTTCCTGGGGCAAAATGAAGAAAGTGACAGTGGGGCAGCAGCCCTGGATGACCCAAACCCCACTCACGTAAAGCCTCCCAATCTGCCTAATAGTGTCTGCTGTACTGGAAACGCCCTTGCTCCATGATCCCGTCCACCATTCCCCTCTGGTCCCCACCAGACAGCAAGCAGGTCCCCAAGGCTCACGGTCTGCTGGTCACACTGTGTCCAGTGCCAGGCCGCTGTGTAGTCAGGCTGGATCCCCAGTAAATACTGCTACGCATCTGCCTCACCCCTCACCAGCCACTGACCCTTCCAGAACAATATTCCAAGACCATGTCTCCCAAACCCGCTTGCTCTCAGGTTTGAACCCACTGACCAAGCAGCCTCAGACGCTGGGGTCACAGGTACGTCAGGGCTGAGGCCGGCAGGGCCACGATGGGTGGCCAAAAAGCACAGTGCAGACCTTGGCTACCGTGTGCTCAGCATCTCCCCACTGCAAGCATTTCAGATGGCACCCCAGGTGTCCCTGAGCCCCTTCATGAGCACACAGCCCTCCCCAAGTGCCAGCAGAGTTAAGCTATCACACTCGTCCCACCTTTAGTGTCCCGGGGCGACCATAACAACTGACCACAAACAGGGTAGCTTAAAACAATAGGAACTTACTGTCTCACAGTTTAGGGGGTAAAAGTTCAAAATCAAGGTGTGGGCAGAGTTGCTTCCTTCTTGAGGCTTTAAGGGAGAGTCTGTCTAGGCCTATCCCAGGTCCTGGTGGCTCCAGTGTTCCTGTGCTTGTGGCCACACATTTCTTCAGTCTCTGCCTTTGTCCCCACGTGGCCTCCCCCTGTGTCTGCCTCAAATATCCTCTCCTTTCCCTTATATGACACCTGTCACCAGATTCAGGGCCTACCCTAACCAAGAATAATCTGGGGGGGGGCCTGGGTTAAGCGTTGGACTCTTCATTTCGACTCAAGTCATGATTTCACTGTTGTGGGATGGAGCCCCACGTCTGGCTCTGCACTGACGGTGTGGAGCCTGCTTGGGATTCTCTCTCTCCCTCTCTGCTCCTCCCCTGCTTGTTCTCATGCCTGCCCCCCAAATAAATAAATGAACATTAAAAAAAAAAAAAAAAAGAATGATCTCATCTTGAGCCCCTTGATTATATCTGCAAAGACCCTCATTCCCAGGTTCTGGAGAAAACACACAAACACCCCTTTTGGAGGGGATACAATTCAACCCTAAGATGGGCCTTGTGTGGGGAGCACCAGCACACTCCACTTTCCA